TACTTTCACAGACAAGAAGCGAAGCTCATGTATGATCGATACTGCTTGGGATGATCTATATAAAACCTTACTTATTAGGTTAAACAGTGTCAAATTACTAAGAATTGAGAAGCCTTATGATTATGGCCAATAATGTTATCTTTTTCCATATCTTGCCCATAAAATATAGAGCTTATTGTATGTATATATTCTTAAGTTGGATGAATTGTGTGCTTGACTATGAAACCTACTTAGGCTACTTTCTTCGTTATTTATAATGCAATTTAGTCTGTCTTAGTATATATGAAAGAAAAAACACCCAAAATTTTATAATCATGCATGAATCTATATATTACGTTTTCTTGAATCAAACTACATAATCAGCCTAACATATGCCAGACATGAAATACATAGAGTTGCGATACGTAAATAGTAATGGGGACTAGTCGCATGTTAACAAAATTGCTATAGATTGTAGAATAGAGTGATCAAGGTAGTAGTAAATTAGTAATTGATCAACGAACCTTAGGAAAAAAGATATAAGTCAAAAGAGAAAAAGCAGTTGAACAAGTGTAAATCAATTCAATATACTGTATTTGATCCCTTACCATAATTCGCCTTTAGCCAACACCACACAAGTAAGAAAATATATACATCGACAAGGGTGATTAAATAGTATATCCAATTCATACCTAAGTCTTGTGTACTCAAATACCGAATGAGTCCAGGAGTTCCCCCAAACACTTCAGTAGAATACATTTAATTTTGATAGAAAATGTTATATCCAATGAAGTGCTCAGAGGAACTCTAGGAAACATCCGACCATAACGATGTTTGTTTCTTTATTACATTATCAATGTATTGTATGTATATATTGTGGAATGTGTAAATTTACATGTTAGGGTTTGAAAGTCTTGGAAGCATTAGCGTTTCTATATATACCCTTGGAAGCATTGTGAACTTAGACGTGATTTCAGGTTAAGGGATTTAGGTAAGGGAATCAAACTATTCAAAAAACTGCATAAATCCCTTTTCCTTTCAGCTTTTTGCATGATAAGAAAGATCAAATTTATATTTACGCGTTATGCATAGATGCTAATACATATATTCACATCCATGCAACAGAACACATTAGTGCTTTGCTTCCAATTTACGGATATAGTAGCAACACATAAGAATATCAATTTTTAACGACATATTTTATTGAAGCATCCTGTTGATAATCCATCATAGCATAATGTACTGTACTTAGAACTATATATTGAAGAAAAAAACTCGATGATTGATCGTTACATTAGTGCTTTGATCTATAGTTTTCGGATATACTATCAACACATAAGAAGATCAACTTGAGAATTGGCATATTTACACAAGTATCAACAAAACAAGACTTAAAAATTTATACATCAGAACCACGCATTAACATTGCAGTTACATGAAAGAAAAAGAATAAGTAGAATAAGATCGGCCTCACGAAAGGTCCTATGGCAAGATATTTATATTCTCGAAGCTCCTTATCACCAGTATTCCGACTTGGTTCATCTTCAAAATTTCCCCCATGTGTTTATTAAGTAATGGAGAATATATCATCTATGGTCCATCCTTAAGATATTCCATAAATGTAAAGAAGGGAAAACATTAAACATACCATGGAGAAGTATGTATAAATATGCATTTTGGGTTGTGAGTAATGTCATTCAGTAAGAGAAGCATTAGCAAAAGAGAGAGTGAGTATATGGTCAGATGTCCTCTTGAGTTCCCTTTAACGCTTCATTGTTCATACTTAGTTGTCTAATATCTAATGAACACTGAAGTGTTTGGGGGGACTCTAGGTGGCATATTGGCGCCGGAAGGTTTATATTTATCAAGCGGTGATTCATGTGGGCTATGTGCATCTTCATGTAGTAGATAAGCTATGTGGTTGATCTATATATATATATATATATATATATATATATATATATATATACTATCATGAATAAGTCCGTTTCATTTTTTCATAGTAAACACACTTTTTCATTGGAACTTTTGGCTTATTGGCCATAAACATTATGCATTTTAGAACATACTAGCATACATAAATTATCTTTTGAGCTCATTTAATCATATATTCTTTCTAAACAAGTGGTGTTAAAGAGCAGATCAAAGGACAATGGTGGTGCACTTGATGAACATGGACAAGATTCTTAAATAGTTACATACACACAACTTAGAAGCAAGCAAAGATGTCTTATCACGAAAATTCATATATAGGTTCATCCAGTAATTGCATTACATATATGATACATATACTGAAATGGAGGCATGTAACAGCAAACTGTTTTTTACCAATCCTCCACTTCTTCAAATGTTACAAACTGGGAGCACACGAAACCGCTGATTAATCAGCGGTCCAACTCTGTTCAACAATCTCCTTAACACGTCTGTTGTACTCACGCTTGTTCTCGCTGAACAAGCGAGCAGCTTCAGAGTTTGCAGGTGAGTTTGGGTTGGGATCACAGAGAAGAGACTGCACATTGTAAAAACCACAAACAATGGTTGGTTTATGATCAAACACTAAGGAAATGTCTGAATAACAGAACTAGATAATCAATAAGTACCTGGATAGATGTAAGAATCGCAGCAACATCATAAATGGGACTCCATTGGTTCTGTAAGATATCAAGACAGATACTCCCATCTGCATAGACTGAACAAGACAGGAAGAGAAGAAGAAACGATAAGAATCAAAGTAACAGAAACAAAGATTAAACCGTTTATGTTTAAACTTACTGTTAGGGTGAAACATGCGAGAAACAAAACGAACAGTTGGTGGTTTGTTTGGATAATCCTCTGTAAATTGAAGAGTCAACTTGAAAGTACCTAACACAATTAACTTTACTTTAAATACAAGAACCGGATCTATAGTTTCACTAATCTCACTAAAGGTATAGACTTTATACCTCCATCCCAAGGAGTATCATCTGGACTGTAGTTTCCATTAAAAGCACAAATGATCAGAATCCAGACAAGACATAGGTGTTACCATAAAAGAAAAGCAAATGTTTTATTTTTTGGGTTACCCAAAGATAACAGCGTTCCAGAGCAAGATGTTGTTGTCTTGAGGAGCACCACTGATACCGGCAGGAGGATCTTGCTGCAACCTCCTGAAATCTCTCATAAGCCTCTTCCTTGCTGGTGTTGACATCTCAATCTCTCTCTCTCTTCAACACAACAAAACAACAACAAAGATTACAACTTGCAATCAGAACATATCTAGGATGTCTTAATTGCAAACATCAAGAACTCTCTCAAGGAAACCCTAGATTTAGACAAGAGCTAGATGAAACCCATAACCCTAATTAAAAAGATAACCTAATTAAGACAGAACCCTAGACCCTAAATCAGTCCATATCAAAATCAGTCGAGCAGGCAAAACAGGATTGAAAGTGAACGAACCTGAGATTCCCAACGGAGGAAAAGAGATGAACTTTCGTAATCGAAGACCACCAGAAAAGAGAGAGACAGAGATTGTCGGAAAAAAATTGAAGGGCTTTGATGGTTTAATTTATATAAAGAGTAAAGGATTTGATTGGGTCGCCGCGGTACCTTCAAAGGTGTCAACCTAACCATGCATCAAAGAAACGCTCCTTTCTTTTATTAAATATACTCTATTCTCTTTTCTTTTTTATCACCTAAGTTTTTTTTAAAACTAATTATTTCATTTTTATGTAAAATTAATATTTTATATTTTATAGCTATTTGTATATTCTATAATTTGTTTTATTGTTCATTAAGCTGTGTTTTAATTTTAATTATTTATATTCTTGTTTTAAAAATAAATAGTTTCTCTAATCGTTATGTTCAGTCCTAAACTTTAATAATAAAAGTGGCAGAAATGTATAAATCTCAGAAAATTCCAATTCGTTTTTTTTTTGTCAACAAGTGTCCATATTTTTAATCTCCAATTGCTCTCTTTTGTTTTTAGTTTAATGATACTTTTAACATTAAACCAATTATGGACGCTCATGTCCCATCCTAATCCACTTTCATCGAATCTTAAAAGTTCCAAACTCTACGCAATAAATTCACCAATTTCAGCAAAACTCCATACCTTATAACCCATTCCCAAAGGTTAATTAAAAGACAAAAACTTCAAAACTTGAAAGTGGCTTACAAATTAGATAATAAAAACAAACAACTTGATTATCTAAAACCAAGAAAGAACCAAAGAAGACCAAGAAGCAGAGAAACAAGAGATCAACATCATCATCGGTTAAGCACTTCTTTAACCGAGAAGCCAAGACAGTTCTCAAAGTAGTTAGGAGGCTCAGACACGAAACAAGAGATCACATCCCTCAGTGTAATAACCCCAAACAGCTCATTCTCATCTCCATCCGTTACATAAACCCTATGCACTGACCTTGAAGCCAAACTGTTTATAACACTCCCCAAAGTCGAATCAGGCTTACATGTTATCGCAGGACTCGCTAAACCGTATTCCTCCCCCGCCGTTGCAATCTTTGCCGCAAAACTCCTCACCGTAAGATGCCTTTTTGACAGAGACAAGAACACAGTTTAGTTCCTTTCAAAAGTTAAAAAAAAAAAAAACCGGAAGTTGTAACAGGAAATAAAAAAACAAAACCTGAAGTTGGAGAAGACTTCAGGTTGTAGAAGCAAGTATCTAATGTCTCTCATGCTTATGTTTCCAACCACCTTCTTGTTTGTTCCCTCAACAACAGGAAGACCACCAATGTTGTTGTCTCTCATCCTCTTGAACGCTTCAAGAATAAGCTCTTCGCTATCAATGCTAATCACCTAAACCAAACACGTTGTACATCACTTGTATTGCCAATAATTTCAAGAGTTAGTTAAGGTTTCTTACCTCATTAGGAGACATGAAAGGGAGGCCAAGATCAGAGATAGGAAGAGCAGAAATATGATCAAACCAATCTCTACCTTTGCAGCCTTCAAGACCATGAACAACCGCAGATTGAGTAATGTAGTTCTTGATATCCGCCTCTCCCGGTTTAATAACCGGTACATTTCTTAACCGGTACTTAGACAGCAGCAACAAAACACTCAACATTGAACTCTCTGTAGAAACCGGAATAAAAGGAGCATATCTAAAAGACTTAAGTATAGTCCCAACCTGAAAAAACAAAACAACATATCATAAACCAAATCAATGTCATGTAATTCCCATATCTTCCCAAAAAAACTCACAGTGGTTGATTTAAAAGGCTCTTCTTGGAGAATCACTTGATAAAAATCTTTCCCCAAATTATCAGCAGCAGTTGCAGCATCTTTCCCAATCCCACGGTCAGCTGCAACACCACCAGCAACCGCAGCTCCAACCGCAGCCGCCGCTAGCCCCGCAGCAGCGACCGGACCGGTGAAACCGAGCGCCGCAACACCTAAAGCACCAACGGCTCCAGCTCCAACGCCAGCAGCGGTTGCTGACGTGGCGGATAACGCGATCGCGGCGAGTTCTGCGCTTTCTAGCACCCAAAGGATGATTGAGGAGTAGTCTATGATTCCTAAGTATCGCTCCTTCCAGTCTAGAGAGGTTTCGTGGTCTTTGTTTATTACAGGAGCTGAGAGGATCTTGCTGTCTGAAAGAATCTTTACTGCTTCGGACACAGATGTTTCCGCTGGAATCTCTATCACTGTGATCCATACACATACAAAAAAAAAGACAAACTAAGCGGAGAGTAGTGTGAAGAGTGAGTTGTAAAGTTTGGATTTTTATTTTTTGGTTACCTCTGCCGCCGGGAACTTGAGGGAAGGAGGAGACGGGGATACCGGCGAAGGCGGAGTTTAGGGTTTCTTGAAGAGATTTGGGAAGATTCTTCCTCGACTGTACTTTCTCGAAATACGCCTCGCAGCTTGAAACCGACGATTTTATTATCTCTTTATCTCCACTCTCACTTTCAGCCATTTCTTCTTGATTTTAGTTGATACTATCTTGGCAAAACTCAAATTCGATAACTTCTTCGGAAATCTACAGTGATTACAGACTCAAAACGTTAAAAAAAAAAAACAATTTTTTTTTCTTTACACAAAAAAAAAAAAACAGAAACAGTGGGTGTGTGTGTTGTGTGTTCGTGGTTTTGGATATGCGACGTGTCGGAGATGGAATCTCTTCTGGCGGTTCTGCGCGCGTTCATATATTGACACGTGTCGTTATCTTATGTCTAAGTGTGAACAGCGAAACAATCGGAGCCGTTTGACTCGGATGGGCTAGTTTTTTTTTAAAGAGAGAGAGAGATTACATCCAGCGTGATATGGGCCTAGGCCCATAATTGATTCAGTCGCCAATTACATTTCATATAAGAATTGATGACTAATAAAGAGATTGACGAATATTTCATATTGACACTAAAATAAGCTGTCACAATATCCCACGCAAAGATATATCAAACACATATGTTGCTGTTTATTGAGTTGGAAGTTCAATAATAATATCTATAAGAATATGAAAACATTGATGAAAAAAAACCAAAAAAAATGTATATAGTTACTTATTGCTGTCCAGAAAGTTTGGTTTGATGTGATAAAGGAGCTATTTGTAAATATTTACTCGATGGAGCTTGTGATCTCGAGCCACTGAAGCTCAATGTCTGACTGTTTGACGGAGATGGACGATCAGAGGAGGAGGAGAAGCTGAGTGAGGAGTGTGTTGGTATTTGATCGGGATCATAGTTTGGTCGTGTGAGGTCTAGTGTTACCGTGGGGTGAGAGTTGGTGGTGGAGAAAGAGACGTTGTGATAAGGGAAGAAATAACTTAGGTTTGCGGAGGAGGAGGAGGAGCCAGATTGTAATAAAGAGGCGGCAGCGGAAGTTCCGGCAGCCATGTGGGTTGCTTCCATGGGAAGCGGATGGTCGTGAGTTCCTTCGTACGTCGTCATATAAGCGGAGGTCTCATCTTCTCCGCATCTTTGCACCTACATAGATTACATTCTTACATATGTCACACTTTTTCTTCTGGACCATATATAATATCTATGTTATTTTTTGGAATCTAATATATAAGAGAGCCAAATGCTTGTCATTTAACAAAATTACAGTGGCCAACTATGATTAAGATCGCAGTGGGAGGACCCTCTAGTCTCTCTTCAACCACTGGACCACCATGAAATGGTCTACATAAATCACATTTACCACTGATTATTATTCATAAAAAAACATTAGTTACCACAACTTTGTAATGATGAAACCAAGGCTTGTTGCCATTACCCTATATATATAGTCAGTTCGAATTTTGGATTGTGCAATATTGTAGAATGTTTTGTACCTGTTTTCTGACGGGACAATTTGAGGACATGGAGCAGCGGTAATAGGCTCGTGGAAGAGGGTTCGTTTTTGCAGTCTTTTGACCGTATTTCCTCCATTGGCAACCATCGTTTATCTACATGTAACATCAATAACAACATGTTACACATGTCACATATAAGATAAAGAAAAAAAAGTATGCAACATATTTTATATCGTGGTACGTACTGATGGGTCTTCACATGGAGCTTTCACACAAACCCTGCTTTTCTTTAAACCCGGCTGCGCATGTCCTTCCAAAACCTCTTTTTGATCGTCACTTCTAACCGATTTCACATCTTTCCTCAAACATATGCATTTATTCTCCGCGTTTTTGTTTTTAACATCCTTAGATAGATAATCTAACTTCATGGTTTCATCTGTACATGGATCTTCACAACTTTGAATCCGAAATCCTAAACCGAGTGCAGATCTTTTCTTGTCTGATCCCTCATTGATCTCATCATCAGATACCCTTTCCAGACTAATCTTATCTATTTCATCAACATTTTTGGAGACATTCACGTCTGATCTTCCAAGCCTAAGAGATATGTCTACACCAAAATCGTCATGGCTATTAACATCTAGCTCCATAGAAGCTTCATGTTGTGGTCGGATAACGTTGGAGACATGCATTTGAAGTGACTTATAATCAGTAAGAACCGTAGAGAGTAAGAGTTTTAACTTCTCATTTTCTTCTCTAACTTTCTCCAACTTGGCTTTTGTTGCATCAAGCTCCACTTCCTGTAAATTTTCAGATAGTACATTTATATTCACCTTCATATTACATGTGTTTAAATATGTATATATATTTTGATCAAAAACAAATATGTATATATATTCCCTAAACATTACGAGATTATCAGTTCGTAATTTATTAGTCCGGATCATAATCACAATTATCCTATCCGAATATTTGAATTTCTACACGCATAAATCATGAAAGTGGAAATGAAGTACTTCCTTACCAATAAGAAAAATATGTGATACTCGAGACCAATTACTAAACAATCAGGTTGCAGTATGCATAAATTTCAACATAATTAACAGACATGTTAACTACATATATGTATTTATGGATATTGTATGAAGAAGTGTATCAAAAAATCCGATATATTCACCGATAAACCACCAGAAGAAGATTAAAACAGCTATAACTAAACTGATTAGAGAAAACAGTGGTTTAAACTCGATCAAGAAATAGTTTGTTCCTTTTACCTTATCAGATTCAGTGATAACACCATCGGAAGGATGGACACATGAGCTGATCTTCTCTTTGATCATGCTATATATTATGATTCAGACGCGATCTTCTCTTTCGGTTGTTCTTCGTTTCAAGGAAAGAAAAAGAGAGGAGTATATTCTCTTTAATTATATGTAGAGTTGTAGCTTAAGAGCCAGGAGCCTACATTGACTCTGCATTTTAGTAAGAGGAATTACAAACTAAAAATATTGTATTCTATTGGTGAGCGTCACCATGTTACCAGCTCTGATTGGAATCATTCTCAACTTCGTCTCGATTCTTGAATAATCCCGAACCGACGACTCAGCATTATATAATAAATAATGCGTATTGTCATTTAATAACAATAAAAATTCAAATAGTATTGCAATCCAAATCACAAATCATGTATGATAATACTTTATACTATTTCATTATTATTCTCTACTTTTGCATCATGATTCGCTGTAGACATTATGTATAATTTAATGGTAACTAGGACGAGTCTTTACATTGGACTTGTACGGATGTACCGGATGATAATACAAATTCTACCGTCAACGTTAAATGATATAACGTTGTATTGTATGGAATAGTCGAGAAAGAAGAAACAGTGTTCAATTTTTTTTTCTTGGTCGCTATTTTGTAAATGCAGGTTTGCATGTTATCAGATTGGGACCGAGCGAGTCTTGATTATAAACTAATATAGCTCCATATGAAGACCGCAAGGGGTGAATTGCACCAGAAACTTCCAGTCGTTTCACGCATGTTGAGTGCTGACAGAACTGTCCGAGCAGGGATACAATTTCCAATGCAAAGATGACACTTAATCAATTTACAGTTGTTTAATTCCGTTAAGGCGACCAATGATAAGATTCGTTACACATATATAATGAAGGCGAATCTGTCATTCTGAATTCTTAAAGTTATATAAACAATAACTGAAACTGTATACAAATAACGTGACTAGTATCATGTTCTTCATGAATTAATAGGCAAAATTTCATGCCAAAAAATTAATAAGCAAAATTTCAAGAACCGTAAAATATGAGTACATCATGCAAGAAATTTCAGTTTCAGAAACTAAATATGAAGATTATTGAAGTTATCAGATTACTGCTCTCGTTGGATGATATTACTCGTTGATTCAAACATGTTTATTGAATGTTATTGGGAAAACAAACTTTCAAAGAACATGAATTTTCTAAGTAATTTTAGTCTCTCATTTATGAGCCAAAGCTATTAAGTAATTTTAGTCTCTCAGTTATGAGCTAAAACTATTTTAGACAGTACAAACTTATTTATCGAATAATTGATCACTGGAATACATAGTTTTGTTACTATACATTATGTCTCAGTTACTTTCTCTACAAAATGTTTACTTTTTCGAGATTGTGACTGCAAATTTTTGAATATATGCTATTGCTATAACATGTTACAAGTTGAACCTAAAGCCGCAAACAATGGTCTAAATGTTTTTATATGCCAATTCAAATAATTTATTGGGACACAAATATAAAATATAAGTAATAATATTCAATAAAATATAAAATATAAGTAATCATATTCAATAAAAATATCAAATACAAGTAATGAGCGCAGTGTCCGGCAACTAGTCTACCAAATACATGTCATTACAATACAGTGGTATTATTATATCTTAGCTAGATGAATAAATTTATAATTTATAACTTTTATATTACACAACTATGACATTACGGTCAATGATCTACCACGTCGTGCATCAGAATCTATCGCATAATCCTTTATCATAATGGTGAAGAGTCAATTTAAATTATTTTATGTCAACTTACGTGTATAGATTAAAACATAGCAATTCAAAAATATTTGTCTCTCTCCTCTCTAACCTCTCTCTAGCTCTCGAACCTTCAGACGATATTGCGATCAGGGACCACGGCGGTCCTGTCGCTTCGGCGGTGGTGATTGCCGTGGTTTCCTCTTTTTGATATGAATATGTGTTTATCTACCCTACTATGTATAGATCTTTTGGTGTGCCTAGGTTTCCGGAAAGCAGTGTCTCGTTTAGTCCTGTCTTTGCCGGCTCAGTTTCCGGTGGTATCCGGCTTGGTTTCCGACGGCTTGCGTTCCTTTTGGCGAAGTTGTTCGGCGTAGGGAGGCCCTCACTCGAACCGGTGTTGGTGGTGCATGCAAAGGCTTCGTCGCTGGTTTGACGCTCCGGCTATCTCCCTTTCTACTGTGTTCGTTTTGGGGGAAATTCGACAGAAGAAGAGATCATAGGAGGATGATAGGATTCAGTCGAAGGATGTGGTGTTGTGGTTCGGGGAGAGATATTCCTTATCGTCTCCGTCGATGATGTGGGCTTGTCGTGCTTACCCTCTTGTTCTAATCCGCCTCACCGACTCTCGATCTCGTTTGGATCGATCGCAGATGGTGAATCTTTTGAAGGTAGAGGCTCGTGGAGTTTTCATTGGTGAAAACTCGATCTCAAGTCTGCTAAAGTTGGCTCCGGAGAGTTCTGGAGATTGTGTTTGGAAGATTGAAGATCTCCGACGTCGTTACTTCGACGGCGGCGGCTCTAAAGATGGTGTTCTCTTTAGGGTCGACGCGTGTCCCCTTAAAACCCTAATATCGTTCCACGTGTTTATTACGTGTAGATTAATGGGTATGTCGTGTTGGCCTTTACTGGGCTAGGTTGGGAAGGTTTTGTTGTTTCATGGGCTCTATAATATATTTTAATATTGGGGGAAGACGACGTATTTCCACACCAGAACTATGGCATAGTAATAAATGTACACAAAGTTTCGACGTCGTCCTAATTGCACACCGTTGAAGTTAGACAACCAATTTCCACATAATAAGAAAGTTCGAACCTCGTTTCCACACAGACCATAATTTGACTTGGTTTTATCGGTTTATTACATTAACCGATAGTAAACCAGTTNGGGAAGACGACGTATTTCCACACCAGAACTATGGCATAGTAATAAATGTACACAAAGTTTCGACGTCGTCCTAATTGCACACCGTTGAAGTTAGACAACCAATTTCCACATAATAAGAAAGTTCGAACCTCGTTTCCACACAGACCATAATTTGACTTGGTTTTATCGGTTTATTACATTAACCGATAGTAAACCAGTTATATTGGTACGCCTCGACCCATAATAAGATCCGACTATGGATCGATATATACCCGACCCGAAACACCTTTAAAACTCCCAAATCGAGTTGTTGTCTTTAGAACCCTAAAATCTTAAAAATTGAGAGAGTGATTTCGTTTCCCAGACCCAGAAAGCATGAGTCATGAATCTGGAAGTTCGAGTGGAGTCTCTAGCGCTCGAGCAAGAGGTCGTGTTATTGGTGTTCCGAAGAGATGTTGGTGTGGAGAATTAGTTATCCCATTGATGTCGAATTCAAAGGCAAATCCTTATAGGAGATACTTTCGTTGTGCTTTTGCAGCAGAGAAAAGGGTTAGTTTGTTTATATAAATGTGATTTTTTCAAAATAAGTGAATGTTCAAAATGTGTGGGTGAATCAATTTTTCTGTGTTTGTAGCTGAGTAATGATAATCATAGTTACAAATGGGTTGATGAGGCATTGTTGGATGAGGTTGAAGCAATGTCATTTAGGATTGGGAGACTTGAACAGACAATTCTTGCTGAGCGTGTGGAAGAAGAGAAAGAAGAGAAGAAGAAGTTTGATGAGTTTGGATTGAAGTTAGAGACCGAGATTTCTGCAAGAATGGAAGATGTTGTGAATGAAGCAAAAGCATCTCAAAAGAAGGCGATGGTGCTGGTTGTTTTAGGATGTTTGGCGATGGTTGTTTTGGCTAAGGTGTTTTAACTTGTCTCAGTTTGAATTGTCTCAGAAGATGGTGGTGTCAAAAGTCTGTTGTTGTTTATGTTGTTGGAAATTAGATGTTTTAAGACTCTCATAAGTATGGTATTTTATAAGATATTTCTCCTTTGGAAAGGTGAGAATCAAGATGAGTTCAAATAAAAAACAAAAACAATGACCATTGCTATTAAAATAGGATACATTGCCTCTAAAGCATATCTTGAACACATCAAAAAAGAGTTTAGATCCATTAAACTAAACCTGATATCCGAGAAACAAGGTCATGGAACGTGCAAAAAGAATCTAAAGCCGAGAAACAAGGTCATAGAACCTAAAAAAAGCACCTAAAACCGAGATAAAAAGCACCTAAAACACCACAAAAACAAACCACTTCTTCACTCCTTCACATCCATCTTCTCTTCTTTCCATGCGTCACTTCCTTGGCTAAGTAACTTGAGAGCCACTAGCACCTTGGGAGGCTTCAGGCTGAGAAGATTCACCACTCTGCCAAGGATGAAAAAACAACACAATAAACACCCAAAAAATATCATCAAAACACATCATCAAACACATACACAAAACCGAGATAGCAATGAAACAAACCTGTTTCGGATCATTCTTATGGAACCTGGAGTTATGATTAGCTTTCCCACATATCCGACAGTGCATGGTTCGCTTCAAGGTCTTATCTTTTTTCTTCGTTGGTGATTCATTGACTCCTCTCTTCCTCTTTTTATCCGCTTTTGTCACCTTCTTACGGCCTGGTTGATCTGGGATCTTAGGTTCTTTGATAGATGGTTCTGGTCCTTCAGGCCAGAACTTTGCTCCACGCAAGGGTACAATCCCTTCAACATACGTACGCCTCCATGTAGCTGTCTTGAACCAGTGAACCACATAATCTGTTGCCTCTAGATCTTTTTTCAACATGACTCCATAGGCGTGCTCACAAGGGATCCCTGTAATCTCCCATCTCCTGCAACTACAAGTTCTACTTTCCAAGCTTACCCTATGTGCACAGCCATTACTAGTAATAACCTGATACATCTGGTTGGTGGAAGGTCTAACCGTCGATTCTGAGGCAAGCTTATGCAAACTCTCGAGCATCTCAATGGCATATGGTGTGCAAAGCCCTTCGTAACTGGTGCAAATGACATCCCTTTTCGCAATACGAACCATTGCCAAGCGAGCTATTGTCTCCAACATAGGTACAAAGGGCTTGTCTCGGGCTTTACCTATGGAGTTGTTAAATGATTCGGTTGAATTGTTCTCCACGTCTTCACAATAAGGTCCAAGCTTATAGAACGCCCTGCAC